ATGCTGGATGTTGGATGTTGGATGCTGGATGTTGGATTTTAGATGTTGGATGTTGGATGAACCAGCTCCTGGTTCATAGAAACAGGAGCTGCTCATAAATACAGACATGCAGCCTCTGCTCACACTAAAGGCTTCAAACTGGACCCTTCAGAGAGACTTTCATGGGTAGAGTAGAAGAAGAGAACAAAATAGAGCTGATGGATAAACACAGGAGACATGAGCACTATGGAAATACACATAAAACATCCAGTAAGAGTTTAAAGTTACACGTTTACACACAAACAAAATGTCAGAATGTGTATTTACGTTTATAATGTGATTAATAATCTCACACGTGAGGAGGGAAAGATAAAAATGTGTTTATAGTGAAAATCAATCAACTAAAGGCACCTAGAGTGGCAATGCGCTTTAAAGAACTACTTTTCCCAGAAGCCTCCTCACTCTGCGCATGCGTAGTTGCATCATAACGACGTGAACCGCTGTGTTTTCAGTAGCAACCGTGTCTGGAATTAATAAAGTCGTTTTTAAAGGTAAGAAATGTTTTAAAATGAATCACGGAGATCCTTTAAATGAATTCATGGAATACCAAGACACATATATAATTATATGTAATCATTATCACGTGATAAGAGCGAGCTAGTTAGCCTTGTTTAGTGAGCTAGCTAACGTAGCTAACGTACGCCAGACTGCGTTTAAATTCTGCATCTTTCTTAGCGGAAGTGACGTTAACTAGTCCTTCAGACATTTAGCTGAAAACACTAAAGAATCATTCAAATGTTTAACTTCAGTTCGGCGCACATTCATCACAGCAGGCAGCACGTGTTTCAGTGAAATGTTTATAGAAGCAGCTCCTCTTATTGCTCCGATAGTTTAAACAGTGAAGATTAGAAGTTTAGATCATATTCAAATTAAATGCTCTTAGTTTGTCACTTGTATGCCGATACAAATATAGTTATGTGCTTTATAAAATATATTTAATTCAATTTAATTGAATACACTAGAAGACCCAAAAAGTCTTGAGTCTGGTCTCTTTCACCACGAGGATATTAGATTAAATCTACTAGATTTTGAAGGAGTTTGGTGTAACTTTTTATCTCCCACAACTACATTAATATTTATCATAATGTAAGTGTGGGACATATGTCCTGTTTGATGAAGACCTTTTCATTTACAGACTGAGACATGTCCACTCTACTGGATGAGACAGCAGCAGATGTTCCAGTCAGAGACTTCACCGTGAACCTCACAGCAGGTCTCCATGTTGTCTCCATGTTATCTCTATGTGTCTCCATGTTATCTCTATGTGTCTCCATGTTATCTCCATGTTATCTCTATGTGTCTCCATGTTATCTCTATGTGTCTCCATGTTATCTCTATGTGTCTCCATGTTATCTCTATGTGTCTCCATGTTGTCTCTATGTGTCTCTATGTTGTCTCTATGTTATCTCTATGTGTCTCTATGTTGTCTCTATGTGTCTATGTTGTCTCTGTGTCTCTATGTTGTCTCTATGTGTCTCTATGTT